ATATATAAAAAGTTATACCATAATTGAATACAGGCAGTGCATTTTAAAATATGTAAACATTTGGTACTTCTACCAAATACACCTTTTGTCTGTGTTATTTTTATTTTTCTGACATGATTTTTAAATTACAAATTAGTTCAAACAAAGATGAAAATAATATACAAGACTGTAGGTGTTAGAACAAGTGTTAATCATTTAGTAATAATATTTAGGAGGTTGCAGGTTCCTCAGATTATTGCCTTTGTTGTTATAATCATTAATTTTCTGTGAAGCCTAGTTTTACAGCTAGCAATAGGTTTCTCTTCAAGTGTTTTATTGAAGCATTTGTGGTCTTGAACTAATCTCATTTTAGTCCAGCATACATCATATTAGAAAACTGGTGATATTTTTTTGGTTTTGTTTCTACTAGCAAAACCTTAGGGCTTTAATGTTGGAATACAGTATGGGGGGTTTAGTTATTTTAAGGGGGCTTTGCTAACAAGAAGGTGAAGGAGCATTCTTGTGAATTTCTGGGTTGTGATAGTTGTGATTAATCAGTAGGTGTTGTATGTTCGTAATTAATTTCTTAATTAATTACATGTTGCCATATATGCTTGCACTTAATTTCAGCATCATTGTTTAGAAACTGACATCTTTTCTCCCCATCCCCTTTATTTTTCCAAGCTGTGGGAAGTATATGGTGATCGAAGATGTCTACGAACATTTATTGGTAATAGTCTTTTCTTTCTTAACTGATTTTTTTTTTTTTTTTAAAAAACAATTTCATGGAAGGATATGATTTAGGTTTGCTTGTTAATTTATCATAGAGAGGACTTGTAGGCATCCAGCAGAAATAGTATTCAGTATGATCTTGGCAGTAAGAATTGAAAAAGATGCAAGTTTTTTAATGAGCCTTTGTCATTATTCCATATAATTTAATGTTTGTGTAAAACATCTTATGACCCTTAAACTAAAACATTAGTGTGCTGCAGTCATCAATACTTTATGCAAGACTCCTTTCCAAAGGCAAAATCATGAGATTGAATTGCCCCATCTTCATGTTGAGAACAGCAGCTCTCTGTATTTATGCAATGAGGGCGTCTCATGGTCTGATGATCCCATCTCAAATAGGTCATTTCTTCCGTGCAAAAAGCATGGGAGTTTGTTTTTGGGGTTTTTCTGGTTGATTTTTTTTTTTTTTTTTTTTAGGTTCAGGTACTGTCTCTGTTCATCTAACAAATGCTTTTTAAAGCAGATACCTGAGAGAGAGAGAGAGAAATACAAACTTCTTGGCAGCCTTGAATGCAGAACAAAAGCAACTGATTCTGCTTTTGAAATGGGAACATTTCTAGAACACTGAGTTGAATATATGTTGAGTAACAACAAAGAAGTCTTTTTTTCACCTAATATTTTTGATAACAGCAGTGTGATGAAAATGATGGCTCGAAAAAGGTTATCTCTCAATAGACTGCTCCTTCTGAACAGTTTGACTGCTTTTCTCAAAAGGTCCTTATTATAAGCCAGATTCACCTGCTGTTTTGCTATATTTAAGTTACTGTGCCAATGTTGTAATAAAGAGGCCTCCTACAAGTCTAATGCAGTGGTCGCATGAAACAATTGGCCTTGAGGGATAACAAGGTTAACACCAGATGAAAGCACTATTAATTTTCTAATCTAATATTTCCCATATTTTGTACTTATTTACTAATGATAAATGTTTGTTCTTTAAATGTATCTTTAGTGTTGGTCTTTCCTGTTTTTCGTTAAATGTTGACAATTTATTATTACAGTGTTTCAAATTCCTCTTGCAGCTCTTAACTGTGACTTGAACAATCTTTGAAGCTGAAGATTGATTGTAAATCAATTTATGAATGATTCAAAGTAGTTGATTCTGTGCAATGCTATTGTTTCTATCTCCAGTGCATTAAAGGTGTGAGGATTTTGGGGTTTTATTTTCATTATTCCTTAGGAGTTACACTTTCTTTCACTTGAATCTTTCTTTACTAGTGCTCAGGAAGAACTTCAGTGAGTGATTTTCTTGTTTTCTTTGCATTGTTAAAAGACTAGAGCATCTAACATGCATAACATTGTTTAAGAAACAAACACATTAATTCTAAGCATGAATAGATTAAAAGTTTATCACTGCATGTTTTCTATCTTGTAGGACATAGCAAAGCTGTTAGAGACATCTGTTTTAATAATGCTGGCACTCGGTTTCTCAGTGCTGCGTATGACCGCTACCTTAAACTCTGGGACACTGAAACAGGTAGGCTTATATTTGTAGACACTGTTGTTTGGCACTATGTTTAATTAATAGAAAGTATCTTGATATATTGTCAGTCATGTTGTTTCCAGTTGTCTTTAATGTCATCTTGTAGTTCAGTGTTCAGGCTTTTGTGACAGGATGAATAGTCTTTTTTTTCCCCTAAGTGTTTTGTTATCCATAATGGTGTAGTTAACACTACCTGTATAGCTATACTTCATATACCTTTTTATTTGAAAAGTCTGATAGTTATTTGTGGTGCTAGAACAGTTTTCAGCAAAAAGACAGAGTTTTACCAAATCAATTAATTTTATACCTGTAAATGTAAATATGCTATTTAGTAATGAAATCACACTTTAATATGCTTAATTTAGAAGAATTCTTTCACTTGATCTTTTGGTTAACCTGAGCTTGAAAAGCACTCCAAATAAGATAAGTTGCTGGTATAAGGACATGGAGGGTAGGCCTCATGCTCTCGCATTCTGCTCCAATAGTTTCTTAAGCTGAAAAGATACAGGATAGATTTTTGTCAATATTCTTTTTAACCTGAAGTCTGTTCCTGAAGTTTCCATGTTTGAAAGAAACATTAGCTTTCTTGGTTAGTGGTGCCACTAGTCTTGCAGAGGTGACAGTTAGAAAGGTGTAAGTCAAATTCTTCAGTCTTGAATCTGAACTCAGTCATTTAGACACCTGAAAAATGTCTTGAGCTTTCAGATTAAAATAGGCTCCTGCAAGTTACAGATAACATGTAATGAGGGTATTCATGGCTGAGGCTATGAGAGGAGGGGGTCAGTGGTTTGTTTTGCAGTTGGATTGCTGTTACCCTTTTCTAAGTTTAGGATAGAGGAATTCTTCCCCAAGTTTGTCTCTTGTTGAGAACACCTCTGATCCTAAAGAGGTGATGCTTTGCAAAGATACTGGTCAGCTTGTGGTATCCTGACTAGTCCTAGTAGTTTTAATATGTCCTCATGACATACAGGGTACTCTGGGGTTATATTTTTTTTTTAGAAAGCTGTAGTAAAGGTAGGGAACAGTTTGTATGTGTTTGTGCAGGTGCATTAATACAAACATGTGAAAGAAGGTCTAGTCAAAGAGCAGGGTAAATTCTACCTTCTAATCCTCTCAAGGGCTATGAAACAAGTATTTTCTACTGTTAGTTAAGTAAAAGTAAAAAGAATGGTTTCTATCAGGATCTGCAAGAACTAGTCAGCCCATAGAACTTCGAACCTGATGCACCATGAATGGCTTTTCTGTTGCAGGGCAATGTATTTCAAGATTCACAAACAGGAAGGTTCCTTATTGTGTCAAGTTCAATCCTGATGAAGATAAACAAAATCTCTTTGTTGCAGGAATGTCAGATAAGAAAATTGTGCAGGTATGTCTATGTAATATCTCTTCCTTTTAAAAAATCTGATATTCAGTAAAAAACAAGCTCTTATTCTGACTCTTTTATTTGTAGTGGGATATTCGAAGTGGTGAGATTGTGCAGGAATATGATAGGCATTTGGGAGCTGTCAACACCATTGTGTTTGTGGATGAAAATAGAAGGTTTGTGAGTACATCTGATGACAAGAGTTTAAGAGTCTGGGAATGGTAAGTTTAAATTTTTGAATTTTAAGTTAAAGTGTATTATGAGCAAACTGAGAAGAGAGTTTATTTTTAAAAGAGCGCATTGCACGTGGGACACTGGAGTGTGCCCAGTTCTAGATAGCTGAGGAAAAGCTGGCTTTAAAACCCTATTCTGGCTTAATGCCTGAGATATTTCCTAGATTTCCTCTTCCCCCAAAGAAAGCATAATGATAGCCCTGTCACCCTGAAGCATGCTGCACTCTATTAGTGATCTCTGTTCTCTCCCCTTTCCTTGAGTATTAGGTCTTAAATTAACCTGCTGTCTTACATTCGTGTATGTGTGTCAGTTTTGAATGCTTTGAACTTGGATGTGCATAGTATCATACAATACGTGACCCATGTATTAAACAAGTAGTTTAATATTAATACAATATTCATATAGTTAATAATCATAACCCTCTTGTATTAATTAATGTTGTTACAGGACATTTTGCATGTGTGTTCTGCTAAATACATTAATCAAAGTACCTTAATTTCGGGGGGTTTTGGCAATCATTGGTACTCACGGTATGAATACAACAGATGATAGAAAAGTGCAAGTCTATCAAAGAAAAACTCATAAAACCCATGATTTGAAATGGCTTCCAATTCTTAACACACCTGGGGAGGAAGCAGATCTCTCTGATCTGAAATGTTTTTCACAAGGTTCTAGATGCTAAGATTTTCAGCTTAGGACTTGTAAGATTTCTCTAGGATTTCAAATTTCTCTCTAAAATAATCACTTCCATATCTTAAGGTATCAATTTCCTTTCTTCTGCTGCTCACACATGCAAAACTGTTACACAATATAGACACTAGATTTACAGCTCTGTGACAAATCTAGACAAAAGACTCCAATCTGTGGTATTTGAATGTTACCCAAGCAGCCAGCAAAACCCTCAGCATGTCTGTGATCAGCTGCTATCATTGCCAGTACCAGCCATGGTAATGACCAAAGTCTGGGAAGCCAGACTTGGGCTAGACATGTAATGCTGTCACCATATGTCACTCCAAGAGAGCCTCTGTTCAGTACTTCCTAATTAAACCCATGCATTTACTGAGCTCTTTAAAGAAAAATCTTTACATATAATATCTTCTAAGGAATGTCTTCTCTCTAGTGAGTGGGAGGATGATCTCACTTGCACAAATCTGTTATTTCCTTGAGACTGGATTGCCCTTGTTTTGTGAGCTTTGTGTTGATGGCTGAAATAAATAGCAAAGTGGGTGGATTTAGTCACTCTGTGGGGAAGAGCAGGAAAGGCAAAAAGGTTCTGGCATGGGAACATCACAACCTGATTGTTCCAGTAGCAGAAGCTTTTTCTCTCTGAAGAAAAAATATGTACTGAGCTTGTTGTATGCTGAAGAGCTCCCTTGTTTGGATAATAGGAAACTCAACTGTAGGCAATGTGCTGTAAAACAGTCGTTGGTGTTTTCTTGGCTTTAGAAAAAGCAAATGTAGTGCTGTCTTCCTAAGCATGACTTGAAAAGCTTTCTCCACAACCTACCATGATATATGTATTATCATGGATATTATATATTTCTATAATTTTAAGATCCAAGGTTTTACAATGCTTTAAAGCTAAGTTAATATAATCACTACAAAAGCTTTTAGAGCTTAAACTTCTGTGGAAAATGATTTCTCAATTTTTTCCTAAGTTCGTAAGGAAAATCATTTGCAGCTTAGGGTGATTTGGTTACTGCACCTTTTTGTATGTTTGGTCATATGTTCTTCTGAACAATACTTCTTCAGTATCTTACAGAAACAAAGCAGAAGTAAATATGACCCAAGTATGGCCTTAAAAGCCGGTAATTAAAGCTGGTCTAATTGCTTAGTTTCAATTGTCTAGAGGAATTTTGTAGTATGTTTTGTAAACACTTTGACTTGGCCAGAGCTGGTAATGGGACGCCATGTCAGACTTCATCACAGTGAGGAACTTCTCCACTGAGAATTTAGATCTCCTTCCCCCAAGAGTTCATCCCAAGCATGGATTTCACTCAATTGCAGCTCGTTGGTTGCTGAACATTCAGACTGCAAGTACAGCACAGACTCTAGCAGATTAAATGGTTTCTTTAGGAATCTTAATGGGAGTACTTTAAGACTTGCCTGCTTTCTCATTTCCTGTGATGGTATTGTTACAGCAGGGATATTAAACTTGGCATGGGTATCATATTCTGTGTTCTTTTACAAATGCAAGATATTATTTTGTCATTGCTTCATGTGCATCTGATCCTACTTGGAAAAGCAGTGAAATTATGTGGGCAATTGACCTTGGAGGCTTTTATTTCCTTTTACCTTCAAGTCAGCTAGCAAAGCAAGAACTATACTGTGGTAGCTTAGTTATTATCCTGACAGGCTTAGGAGGCTTATCATCTCTGTAAAGCTATACCCCTCAGCAGGCTTTTTCTCCATCATTCTCAGTGAAGATACTGTACCCTTTGAGAGAGCTCGGATTGGGTTGGGGTTTTGGTTTGGTTTGGTCCCACACATACACACTTCTTTCTTCAAAAAGGTTTTTTTTGTTCTGCTGCTTAGGGAAGAAGTTGTGTTAGAACCCCAGAGTATCACATTTCTAAATCTTGGCTAGCAGATACTACTTTTGATATTCAAAACTTTTCAGCCTTTGAAATGCTACGAAGTGGGAGCTTGAAGATCTTTAAATATTTGAACAAACTGTATAGCATACGAGTTTTGAGGTCAGAAAACCATGACAGCATCTTTCTTGATAATTTTTTTGTTTTAGTTTTGCTTAAGGGAGCAGGATGATATTACTTATTTAGCAATTTGACTGGAAAAAAAAATGTGAAACATAAGTATATTTCTTTATTCTGCCTAATAATTTGATGCAGTGTATCTTGCAGCTGTCCTAAGTGTGTCTGGTATATTTCAACATAAAGAAGGACAACCTGTGCTGCATTTAAATTTTTTGCTGCAGTGCAACTCTGCATTGGTGATGCATCTTCTGTGATGAGACTTCTTTTTAATGGGGCCTAAAGTGGGGTTGCTTTTACCTGGCCTTGAGGATTTAGGTGACCAGTGGGCTTGAGGAGAGTGGTGGGTGGTGGGAGCTGATGAGGATCTGGCCTTACTGCAGTGATAACTTTGTGTCCTATTGCATGTGGGTTTGAAGCTGTTTGGGTGTTGATGTGAAATGGTAGGATGGATCATGAGGGGCTGCACTTTCTGTGCCATCACGTTGGGCAGCCTTAGAGATTATGTGGACTTTGTTAGTTTTGCTGTCCAACATTAGTCTTGGACCTGCCTGTTTGGAAGCCAGTTATCCCCACGCATGCTCTTATCCACAGACTGTGTGAAATGGGTTGACCTTATTCTGAGGGGTAAATGATTTTACCATCTAACTTGCAGGAACATTTGTGTTGTTTCCTGACAGCAGAGCAGCTTCTCACCCTGTTGCCTGTATGCGTATTGTTTAACATAAGATGACAGGAAACCACTTACTCCACAATAAAATAGAATTGTAATTACCTTGCTAATGTCAACCATATTGCTATCCAGCAAGGCTCGGTCAAATAGTACAAAGAAGCCACCCACACTCTGCTCCAGTGATGTCCCAGCAGCTCTTCTACTTGTGTGAATTAAACAATAAAGTCATAACCCCTTTGTAATAATTAATGTTGCTACAGAAAATTTTAAATGTATTTTATGCTAAATACATTAATCAAATCTATTTTCTGCTGGAGAATTCTTTTGCTTAATGAGAAAGACATGTGCATACCTTCCCTTCTTACCAGTTTTCTAGTGTAGGGTATGAGGAATACTGTGAGTATGCATGACTGTTAGTAATTCAATTTATATAGTCAAAACCAAATTACAGTTCTGTGGAGTAAGGATTAGAATGTACTTTTTTTACTTCTTCTGCTTAAGCCTTGTATAGGACAGTGTATGTTCTTAATGTGCACTAGCACAGTCCTGTGTGCAGTTGACACCAGGGAGTTCACAGTTCAGGTTTCTGAACATTCAGAATTGGTTAGCAATCTTTTGGGGGAGTTCAGGAGGAAAAGGGCATTTGCAGGGACTGATAATTAAAATTTGAGTCAGTCAGACATTCCAATAAGATACCTGCGTATATCAATCTATTCTTGTTACCAATGTAAGTATTTTGTAAGAGCTGCATTTAAACTGGAGGCAATAGAATATCTTTGTGTTACAGTTTTACTCTTAACAATTGGTATTATGTTTCTGCTTTACACTCGGGGTTGAGTGAGGTAAATTCACTCTCAAAGGTTATCCTGTAGGTGGCTCTGCAGCTGGAGCTGTCTAGGTGGGCATTCATAGTGTTTTTGAGCTTTTACACATTCATCCTTTGGACACTATGATACACTCTACATGGCTCAGTGGCTGAGTAAATCAACTGACTGGAGGCAGCCCTTTGGAATGTCTTCATAAAACATACTTCTTCCTTTTGCAGGGACATTCCTGTAGACTTTAAGTATATCGCAGAGCCAAGTATGCATTCAATGCCAGCTGTGACTTTGTCTCCAAATGGTAAGTTAATACTTTACTGCCTGCTTAGGCCTAGTTTACATAGGCATGTCTTACTGGTTACATCTCTGTAGTGTTGCCGTGTTGTGTCCCCCTGTTACCCCGCATGACCCACTCCAAATCAGTGTGTGTGTTTATTCCAAGATTGGACTGGATCTGGATTTGATTTAAAAGTCTTAAGAACAAAAAGTATATCAAAAATAAGAGTTAATCAGGATAAATGTATCATTTTAAATTTAGACCTTCATCCAGACAGGGCAAAAGGACTCTTTCTTTTCATAGAGCTACAATATGCTCTTTGCTATATTTAAAGTATTAAGAGAAACAATGGTGGGAACTGACAATGGCTGCAAAGTACTAAGGAAGTTCAGCCCTTGTGGTGCCACAGTTAAAGCTGAAACTGATGTTGTACATGATCGTGGTAATGCTGTTCTTTTCTGTTCTGAATATAGCCCAAACAACTCTTGCAGAAGAGAAATACCAAATTACTTCAATGTTTCTGTATGTTAATGTTTCACTGATGTTTATGTTCTTCAATTAGAAGCAAACTGAAGGAGAATAAAGGTTTAGAGCTTCCAGTAATCAGTGAAAATCCTTCTAACAGGACAGTCTTTGTTTTGGCCAAAATTAAATTGCTTTAGTGTCAACATTATTAAAGCTGCCAGATTTACAGTTAACAGTCCCATTATGCCAAGTAGTGACTGATCAACTTGTTGTACAGCTAACGTTTTCAGCCAGCTGTCAGCATCAAATTGTATGGCTTTCCAGTGTAGATATTATTTTATTCTTAACAATAAAAATGGGTTTCTAATATAAAAAGGAAGATTCTGGAGAAAGAGATAGCTGTGTTTAAAAGCGTTAGCTTCCCAGGCTGGCCTTTTTCAACCCTTTTTTCTGCACAACCTGCTTTATTCTGGTCCAGTTTTTTCAGTTCATTTCATTCTTCTGTATTGAAATACTGAATTTTTCATTCTTTTTCCAGTTCTGGCTGGCTAGCATTTGATTTCTGAGATGAGACAGTAAATGATGTTAGGAATGAAATAGTCATCTTTTCAGCTCAAGACATCACCTGTCACATTAACTAACATTATCTTGACTACAATAATCCAGTATCACACAGAACAGGTTATTTCAGAATAGTTAAGCTACAGATTTTGCCAGACATCATGCATCATTTTGGAGTTCAGTCCTTTAAAGAAAAGTCAATTGAAAATTGTACATATGTGGAAATCTTCTACTTATGGGCACTGATTTAAGAATCTTATCAATTAAATTTTTCCTCCTGAATGATAGAGAAAACAGACCTTTTAAGAAGTAGGAGAGTAACATGCTTGTGGTATACATGTGAGTTGTTTCTTTGGGAGGCTGAAAAAATCCTGAAATTCCAAGCTAGCAGCTGGAAGTGTGACCAGATTTACAGTCAAGTCAGCACGTTTTATGTTATCACTGTTTGCATAAGACTCTATAAAGACAGTGATGATATGCTGAGTTCAGGACAAAAATCTCTATATTCTATGGTGTTCTGTAGCACATTATCTTCATTGGATTCTCAGACAGGAGTTAATGCACTGCCAAGATGCAAAATAAGGTAGAGTTAAGAGAAAAGCCTGGGCTTTTCTCTTTCACTGAAGTATCTGTATTAAATTGCATTCTGCTAGGGCAGAGAATACTAAATAGTTGCGAAAATGTAACCATTTAAAGACTCCTCTGTCTAACCTAGATGTGTTTTTTGTCTAAAGAAAATAAGAGGTGACACTCTTAGACTACCCACAAGACAGGTAGTCAGATAGATTGCAGCTAGATAGGGGGTTTTTTCCCCTCATCTGAATTACTTGATTATGTACACCAGCAAACTTAGTAGCTTAAAAACGTATCAGTAAGTCAGTGTGGTTGATACAGCACATTTTTGTAACAGCCAGAGCTTATCCAGAGTCCTGAGTGCATTTTGTAGGAACAGGCGTCCCAAATCCTGTCAAATGTAAGGTTTGTACCAGGCAGAAGAAATATCAGCTGCTACCTGGAACCCTGTTATGTAATGAACATCTGGATTAAGATAGTGCAAGAAAAGTAACAAAAATCTTCAAACGTTCCAGTTAAGGCTGTTTATTCAAATGCAGCACTCTGATGCCACCTTTGTTTATCACATTTGTAGGGACATGGTTGGCTTGCCAGCCGATCGATAACCAAATTCTGATTTTTGGAGCTCAGAACAGATTCAGATTAAACAAAAAGAAAATTTTCAAAGGTCACATGGTAGCAGGCTACGCTTGTCAAGTGGATTTTTCGCCTGACATGAGGTAAGTTTTTTGAGAGAATAAGTTTCATCTTAAAACTTGCTAGCACAGACATTAAATTTCTTTTTGAGTCCTCTGCAGTATTCATTGATGCACAGCCACCATATTAACTCGGCATCAGACAGAGTTCTCTAGCCAAGCAGCAGAATGGAAAGTTTACTCTTGTCATTTGATTGGAGTAAGTTATACTCCATGGTCGCTTTGAGCAACATTTAGACAACAATCCATGTAGTCCTGATCCCCCGTTCTTCAAAGGTGACTTACACTGCTGACAAACCACCCAGAGACTAGCCCTGGTGTAGCACAGGAGGCTTCTGGCTTGCATCTGGCTCTTTTTGTGTGTGGTCTGTAGCACGGTGTCTATTCCCACAATATGCACTTGTCTAAAGAACCTGTGATTCGGACTTGCCCAGTATTCCCAATTTGCAGGTCTGGTGTAGGTACCCTCATTGTTCAGAGAACCATATTTTTCATCCTCTTTGCTCAGTAATATGCCCATACATTTACCACTATACGTACATAAGATATGCATTACTATAAAAACTGGAGAATAACCTCAGCAGCACTGGAGGAAAAAGCAGAGACAAGTGTCTATAAATTTTAGAGAAACTTCTGGCACTTTCTCTCTTGCTGATGTATTCTTTTTAGTTCCAGTAACACAGTATATGGTATAATCACATTGCTTAGCACATTTACCTTGCAGTTGATGAATCACCTTCTGCAGGATCTGTGTGCAGCAGAGCACAGGATGAATGCTAATTCTTTGGTAGGTATGTTTGCAGACTGTCACACAGGAAGACTCACACAGGAAAAGGGTGAAGCCCTTTTCCATTGCTCAATATAAAAGTATTATAATACAAGCAGTCTTCACACATGATACAGCTTTTATTTTAATCCTGTTAATACAGCTATGTGATATCTGGAGATGCAGATGGAAAACTTAACATCTGGGACTGGAAGACAACAAAACTCTACAGCAGATTAAAAGCACATGATAAAGTCTGTATCGGTGCAGTGTGGCATCCACACGAAACATCTAAAGTCATTACGTGTGGCTGGGATGGTCTTATTAAACTATGGGACTAAAGAGGATGCTTCAAAGATCTCAAGATGTAAGATCTCCTGCATGCATCTGAGATTAGAATGAATTCTGTAAGGATAGGTAGAGGTTTGTAATACTGCAGTTCTCAGCTAGCTGTGTGTATGCACTAAAACATGGGAAATCTTCTCAAGACCCAGCTGAAAGGATTTACTTTCAATATGACCTCTGGGTATGAGAAGCTGAGGTCATCTGAAGCATGCAGAATCAAGTGCTAATTTGTCATGTCACTGTTTGTGAAAAACACTCTTGTAAAATAAAGTAATTTTAAGAAAAACTATTTTTGTGGTTCTGACTGCCAGAGATATGGGGAGTTAAAGAGAACGAGCAATTGTGTAACTTGCTTCCTAAGAAGAATCTTTGATACCTACTGCAATAGACCTGGAAAAGATGCATTTCTTTATCTGGTTTTGGGTGGTATTTTGTTGTCCCCAATATACTTCTACATTTATAGAACACAAACCCACTTGCTAAGATCTTTTAACTCACAATACAAATGAAGAACTAATTGGAAGCAAGCAGTTGTCAGATAAACTGTAACCACTGAAGACCGTATTTGTAAACTCTTGTTTCTGTCTTTAATAATAACATCATGCTGATCATTGAGTTCCATCTTTGCAAGTAGTCATTGATTTCAAGAGTTTGCTTGTAATGATTGTGTGTTAAGTGTTTGGTATTTCTCTTCACATATGCTTTTTTATGTTGCAATAAGCATGACATTAAAAAAAAGATGTGATCTCTGTTGTTCAGTTTGGAATACATTGTATTATAAGCCCCATAAAGGATTTGACAATTTAATGTATATAGGTGGGTCATGCTTTTTCCTCTTTAAAGAACTTATTTTTAATAAATCTTTTTATAAGAAGTCTGGTTATCTTTAATTCTTCTGTCTAGCAGTGTCCATATAACATATTTCTTACTATTTGGTATGTTAATTTGCAGTTGTGTACCAGTGTTCAGATAAACCCATTCTCTTGCATTGTTTGTACAAAACTAATGCAAGTTGGAAGCAGGAGAAAAAATCCTTTGAAATCCCTATCTATCATCTTCTCTCTTTTTGAGCACATAATGGAAAGAAATTAATTACACATTTTTATCCCATGGATCAGTCTTTAATTAGTTTTGAGTTACCCTATATTGTTTACTATAAACCTAATCATTGCTTATCAAAAATAAGCAATAGCAAAGGAGTAATTGCCTTAACTGGCAGCAGGATAGAAGATAAGGCGTTTCCATAGATGATAGGCAAAGAATTTCAAATTGTGTGGAGGGACGGAAGTGGGTTAGTTGGTTTGTGTGGTTTTGTTGGTTTGGGATTTTTTGACTGATTAACAAGACAATTCTCTTTAGTGAATACTCTTTGAAAGTTAGGCCCTTATGAAGTGAAGGTGGAGCATATGCATTTTAGACCAACTCTCTAAAGCTCAGCTTGAGAGTCTTTCCAGTATCCATTCATGCTGTCATGTAACTGCACGAAGTTTCCATGTTTCTGTTTACTTTCCCATCTCAGTAGCCTTGTGTAGCTGGAAAGCTCCACACACTACTTTCACAAGTGGTGCACTGGTGGTAACTGGGCATTGCCTGGCCTTGCACCCACGCCAGTACTGAGGTAGGAAATTATGGAGTCTGGAGAGACACAAAAGAGCTGGTGCGGTGTGTCCCAAGGACCATCCCCTCTGCAAGGAGAGAAAAGGCTGCTGCTGTTTCTCGGCTCTTCAGGGTGCAGGTGGGAGCAAGCTGTTGCTGTGTTGCAGAGGGTGAATTCCCAACATGGTGCTCTTCACAGGGCAGACTTGACTCCTGAGCTGGGAGTTGAGCTCTGGTGTGCGCTGGGTGCTGTGTCAGCTGAAAGTGGGCTGAAATAATTTAGAGTGCTTTTCTTCCTTCAAATCCATTTCCTAAATGGGTATGTGGCAGCATGCCCTGACCATTAACAGCTTGTAAGTACAGGGCACTGGGGAAGAGAGGAGGAACGGAGCAGATGATACAAAAACTTCGCACAGGAATGTGTGTTAGCTTCTACATCAGAAACACCCTTCTCAAATGCTTAAAAGCCTTTAAATCATAACACAAAATGTTTGGTGCTGTAGTTGGGACCGTTTTCCCATGTGTCATCTGCCAGGCAGACCTGCATGTGTGTGTATATAGATATAGGTAGATATATACACAGACACACAAAATATACGATGTATAAAAATAAATGTATAAACAGTTGTGGCAATATACTGGGTGTTGTCTTGGGAGAAAAAAAGTGTTGACTCCATCAATTCTGCTGAAGTTGATGAATTGGGATTAAATGTTTGCAACAAGCCCAGAATCAAAATTCCCCCTGAAACTTTGAGATAAACCCTTTTGTCCCTCACAGTTGGTCTCCATGTTAATCTTTCGTGGAATTTCTCACATCTGCACTGAAGCCCGGAGGGGGAATTTTTATGAGGATAATTCCCTCTTGTCATCTTAGAGTTGCAGACTCCAAAGCTCACACTGTCAGCCGGTTTGGTGCACACCAGGATAGATGGTGTGTGCCTGTGGGGCGTGTCAAGACTTGTCTTTCCAGCAGCCACCTGGGAAAAGATTTCTTGCTGGGCTAATTAACTCGAATCATGTCCTGCTCTTATCTTCCCAATTTCATGTTTCACCAGACATTGGTGTTATGAATGTTGGTCAGAGCAAGTCTAGACTGGTTCCCCGAGGCTGACTTGGTGTGCGAGCAGACAAAGCCAGGGGAAAGGCAATCCTGGGAGAAAAAGCAAAAGGCATGTTTTGAGTTCCACCAAGTTACTCTCCCAACATTAGGCAGAGAATGCAATGTGACTGAAGCAGAAAGGAGCTTCCTGGGCAGGCTGGAGGCAAGCATGTCATGCTGCCGGGAAGGAATCCACGCAAGCTGGAGTGCATGGCTGCTGTCACAGCATCCTAATTTTGTTCCCCTTGATCACGCTCTGTAACTTTCAGAAATCATGTGCCAATATGTTACCACTTTTATTAATACCAGTTACTTCTACAGTGGAAGTTTTTACAGAGAAGTGAGCTATCTATCTCCATCATTCTTGGACTTCTGCCTGGGAAGCTTGATAGTTCTTTTGGCCTTGTGCCGTCTTCCTTCTTGGACTTCTTTTCATATGCGAGAGGGGAAATATCCCACATACCCTCTTGCAACTTGCTGGTGTTTCTTGAAGCAGATGGTCTTGGCATGTGTCTTGCTCAGAGTTTGTAATTGTCCCCAGTAAGATGGGACTGCTCAGTCTTTGCCCTCATTATGAGGAACAAATATCTAAATCACTGTACATCCAGAAATGTCCAAGGATGTCTTGTAAAAAGCCGATTTTTAGCAACGGGCAGATGTTCAATATACCATTTAACACTGTGGTCTTTAAAGGCTGATTTACACAGTGAGTCTTGCAGCTCTGACAGCCCAGTAACACAATGTACTTTCCTTCTTTCTGCCAGCTGGTCATTACAAAATCCTGCTCCCGTTTGCTAGGAAGACTCCATATGACAAAAAGCCTGCACAAGGGAGAACATGCAGAGCGCAGAGGAGGGAGGCAGACTTTCAACAGTTGAACCTATACACCAGAAAAATCAGTTGCCAGGGAGGTTGGTCCTCTGGAGACTACTCCAGGACTTGCTGCTGGAGGGTTTCACTAACATACGCTCAAAATCATAGCCTGCAGTAAAATACGGCTTTTCTGTCAGGCTTGCTGATAAAAAAAACCAGATACACTCCGGCTGTCTTGCAGCACTCAGAGAAAACTGCTTGTGTCAGGGTTATGTTTACAGAAGCTCTTTGCAGAGTTTAAAGCTTTTAGAAACAAGCAGCAATGACTTTCAATGGGACGTGGCCCTCTAAGTTTGCCACGTACACTGGAAGTTTGACCTCAGGCCTGTTTGTTGTCTTGTTGCATGATAGAACATTTAAAATGTGTTAAATGCCTTTCTGAGCCTCCTTTTAAGCTGCTGCACTTCATGCCACTGGGAGACTGCTAAAATGAAATGTTCTTGAAGATGCATTGAGCTTGTCATACAGAATAAGAGGTTCTCATTAGGCCCTAGGGAATTTTGATTAGTTTGGCAGATGTCAAGGCTACCTGAGCCTGCTCCTCTGGTTTCAGAAAGAACGACACCACCACAAATCCCCTAGGGAGTTACTCCAGTAATGGGAAATTTACAGAGCTGCAAGACCACCGACAGTCACCTGGACATGGTTCTGGGAGCTGCACGTCTTTCCAGTGCTCTCAGCGCAATTGCCCCACAGTTGGTGCCTTGCGCTAACTCCCGGATAAACTCCAGTTGTGGAATGAGTTTGGGGTTTTTTTCCAGTGGAATTTCAACTCTTGCAAAGCAACATTTAAGAAAAAAAAACCCCACCAATACACAAATGCCTTGTCCTAGAAGGGCTGTAACAGTTGAACTTCCTTACCTTAGCTTGCACCAGGGTAATTACCCCACACAAGCTGGGACTCCAGCAGTTAGCGAGCTCAGCAACTTGCCCAGGCTAGTTGTTTACATTTTGCTACCGCACCCTTACACAATCTTGGTCCCTCATCTCCTCTGTATATACTCTATGAAACCTAATCCCTTCCAACAGTCCTTCCTCAGGAGATGAAGAGGGAAGTCAGACTCTGGATGAAGTCAGTTGTCAGGCCAGACACCTGCAGGAAAAGAAGTACAGCCCATTCCCTGGGGCTTTCTAAACCACATTGGGTTTTGTCAGAACAGCTTCCCTGCAGCAAGCTCCTTTCTTTCTCTCCCCTGGTGCTGACCCTTTGGAAGTACCTTGGGGCAAAGGCCGAGTTAGTCGATTTGCTTTTTGTCATTGTTCCTCCAATATTTAAGGAGTGGAGTAACATTATGGAGCACTTCTTCCAATGCTACATTCTCCTATTTCTTAGGGCAATTTTCCTTCACTTCAGAAAGAAGTTAGAAGGCATTTCAGGGTCTCTCCTGCCTGGCAGGTCACTCTGGGAGGTCAGCAGGGGGCTGACTGAAGTTCCAGCCCCTGTGCTATGGCTGCTCCTGGCTGCCGTCAGTGGAGATACATGGGTGCTCCTGGGCCATGGCTGCTGCTGCCATGTTAGAGGTCTGACACTGATCAGGAGCTGCCCCCACCTCCCTGCAAGGCACCCAGGGTGGTGGCTCCACTCTAGGTATCTGAAGGTGATTCACATTGTTCGGGTTCAATTCAGAAACGGAATCTCAAATACAGGGGAGGAATTATCAGCTCAGGTGCAGGAGCATTTTAATCACCTGCAGAAGTTGTGTACTGTGTACACCACTGGA